CCTCGCCCAGCCTATAGCTGTGCTTGGGACAGCCTCTGTGCCTGAGATTTGTCAATTATGCTCAGTTATAATTACAGAGAACAGGGGAACATCTTTACTCAGTATCTATATATGTATGTATTTCTACTGGACTGCTGGCCCGTGTCTGGAACAGGAGCAGAAACGTACCATTCTCCATTTACTTATTAACAGTTTAAACAGACTGCTGGTATTTTTCTTAATTATCTCTGAAACACACCATTCCTCTTTGGCATCCAAAACATTGGGCTGGAAGTTATCCCTGGGTCTCAGTATTTTCTTCATGCATCTACATTCTGCCCTTAGTCTAGTCACAGATGTGGAAAGCCACCGACATCAAAGCGAGTTTGAGAGTGTACCAGCACACTGAATTAAGTCTAGTGTTTCTCATGGAAAGAGCTTTCTGCACAAAAGGAGCTCATTAGTCCCATCATGATTTTTACTGATGCTTATTTTTTATATTTGTTATAGTATAACAGTAAAGTTTGTACTATATAAAGTTTTAACTTTTATGCCTGAAATTGCCTTTTAACTGACCTGTTTTTCGGTCTGTTGCTCTTCATCTTCCACATTCAAAGTTATTGGTGAACTGGAGTTACTATGCATAGCTGCATATGAATCTGCTAACGGATTGTTAGATGCTTTCCAAACAGCATGTGAATGCAGACTGGACGCAGATGATGTCACTCCCCCTTTGAGCAGTGCTTCAGCCATCCCTACCAGTTCTTCAAAATGGGTGACTGCTTGTGGCAACACTGAAATCAAATGGAAAATGAGGGGAAAAATAGTAATTGAAACTTTCAGACTCTAATTACATAAGCATGTATATTTTTGCGATTAGATTCCTGTCATAATGCCAAAGAGTCAAAGTAGTCAGCAAAGATGCTTTGACATACTGTTTTCCTATTCTCTCAAATGCTTTTCTGCCATTCTGCTGTCCCCACCCATTAAGAACTGGCCTCTGTTTCTAGAACAGGATAGATCAGTTCTCTGCAAGGCTAAGAGGAACCAGTAGTTTATGCCTATCGCAGCACTAAGCAGGCTATTTATCTTTTTTTCTTTTTGCTATCTCAAAATATCTGCAAGTCTGTAAGGCTATTGAATATGGGCTAAGTAATGTTATGTCTGATTTTTTTGTTTTTGTTTCAAAGAAGTTACATAGACTGCATAGACTTTTTTCCCCTCTTTTTTAATCTATAAAGAATATCTTTTAAATAACGTTTTTTCCAAGTAATACTTATTTTCAAATATAAACTTTTATTGAGTCCATTAAGAAGAATCAATTCAGAGCAAAAAGGATACAAGCGATGAAGGATCAGCAAGATACAGAATCACTAAATTACAGAAAATACTGTAAATGACTAATACACATGATTAAGATGCAAGGCAAATGGACCTAAATGTTTAAGAAAATTTGTCAGACATTAACAAAATGTTTAAAAATAATATTCAAAAAGGTGGAGACGAATGAGTCAAACTAAGATGAATAACATAAGGAAGGGAATCAGGTGGACAATGAAACTGATAAGCACTTGCAAAATCATATGAAAACTAAAAAAAAAAAAAAAAAAGAGATACTAGGCTGCCTAGGGATGGTGTGATGTAGCTGGCAAGGGAAGGAGCAAATCCTCTTTAAACCTTATTCATTCACTAACGTTTTGAAATTTTGGATTCAATCTTCGCTGCCCCAGAGTAAGGGTCAGGGACAAGTAAGAGGGGGTTCAGAGGTTATGACTAAATGATGACGGATTCTTTTATAAAACAACGAAAGGGTTCACCTCTGGGAAAGGACTAAATTTGTTGCATCTGGAACTAACTCAGATTATCAATAATGAGGAATTACCAAAGTAATTAGAAATTAAATCATTCCAGAATAAACAGAATCTCAGTAGATCACAAAAGACTGGTAATAAATAAGGTTAGTTGGACTGGTGAGTGGAGTGTTTGAGCTTAGCCGATGATTATACACAGCATACAGAAAGGTTCTCTTGGGAACAACTGAAAGGATTTAGACAGATTTTTCCATTTCTAACTCTATGATTGCATGGCCTCCGTGTACGACAATTTTTTTCTAAGTGCTGCTGGAATTAAATGTTGCCATGTATCAAAGACTTTGATGCTAATGGTAGGCCTTGATCGTGTCAGGTGCTTGAGCATCTGCAATTCCCATCCAAATAACCTCTTATAAATCAAGCTTTTCATGACCTTCAGGCTTTCCTCTTCATCAAAATACTTCCCCGACTTTACCTTGAAGCATCACCAGGGACTGCCTTAGGCGGCAGTTTTCTTTCATGGTGTCTGTCAGCTTCCTCTTGAGACTTTTTATTTTGGCACACAGTTCTACCTTGGATAGTTGAAATAAAGGCTCTTCATCATCACTGCTACTTTCACTGTACAGAAAGTTGCTTCCTGAATATGGTTCTCTCTGAAAAAAACCCAAACCTTGCTATCTAGAGCAACAACAACAACATAAAATTAAAGCATTAAATCTAACATTAAAAGGTCTGGCTATATCAGAATATTCTCTTTGTACAGAGAATATAAACAGACTTGGTGCATTTTAATAATAGCTGTTACTGAACATAGATATTACCATTCCTATTAAAATTCAAAATGAAATGTCAGGGTAACACATAACTGTTAGGTACTTCTCTCTCTGTTCCCCATTCACCAATTTTCTAATGTCGTGTCTTTTAGAATCATTAACTTCACTAAAACAAAAGTCTTATGCCCCCTAGACAAATACATTTCAGTTTGCTTTTGCTTGATACATTGAAATTGCTGAAGATGAGATGTTTACCTGTTTGTTGATTAAAGATGTTTCAAGTTGACTCAGGATGCTGGCAGGAGCAGATGCCTGTAATGATTTCTTTCTTTTTATATGCTTCATCATCTTCCCCTGTAAACAGGAGCATAATAGTGCTTTTGCATTCATATAGAGCCTTTAATTACAGTATCTGCTTGTATATAATAAACTTTTATTCACTGTGCACTTGACATTTGTGGTTAGTATTTTTGAAAAGCAGGTTTGTAACTTTTTGTTAAGATTTATGTTTTCTTTCCCCACATTTTGTCACTGCAGATCTACCTGGTCCCGTCCCCTTCTTAGGCAGTGGTGAGATTTGTGTTGTGGTAGAAAATGTAATGGAGCTACAGAGCATCCAAGTCTTGAATAACACTTCTCTCTTTAAATAGCAAAGGACAAAATCTATTGGCCTAACTAATTACTCTGACAGGTTATTGTGCTGAGGTACCATGGGAAGACTGCCTGTATTGCTATACATATTTTGTGTATTATATTGTGAAGAATCAATAGTTACAGTCTATTTCATTCTATTACGGGCCTGTCAATATCAGGCACATAAAGACAGAAACTCACCTGTTCTTTATCCAGGTCACTGTCTTCACTTTCTGAGAATATCATTTCTATCCTCTTCCTCTTGCCTTTTCCAAGGACTTGTATTTTTGTAATTTCATCCGCTCGTAGTATCTTTTGCATCATTTCCACCAGCTCTTGGGGGTCATCTGAAGTGATGGAAAAAAAAAAAAAAGGCAAAAGCACAGAAAAATCAGGTAGCAATACCATACAACTAGATTAAAATTTCATATCAGATGAATGCTCTGGAACTGCACTCACCACTCATGTACACAACTTTCACCAGGTGCTTTTCTGTCTTTCTTTCTGCCACAGGCCAGTTTACTAGAACATGCTCATTTGGTTTCAGAAGTCTTTCTAGTTCATTATCATCATTGGGAAGGTCCTGTATCCACGAAGTCTCTCCAATTTGCAGTGAATTATCATTTACAAAATCAAACAGTGTGAATTTTTTCATCCTTAAGTGGTTTTCTTGTCACACAGACACTGCCTGCAGGATGTCACAGGAAAAATTGCTGTTACTAGGAATGCCACAAGAATGCTTTAAAAAGCCCTGAACAGCCCTCTTATTCCTGGACATCGATAATTACCTTGTATGAAAATATCCTGGATAAGGAAGTGAAAACTAGCCAAGTGCTGTGTTACATCTCCCCTGAAAGACAGGAGATGGTCTGTTCAATACGTGTACATGAGACAGGTGCCTCCAAAACTATGCACAGACAATAGCTTTCAATCACAGAGCCTTGCTTCCATATTACTGCTGTGCCTGAATCTATCTCCTGCCCGGGATCTCCATTACTACTACATTTGCCCCAACAAAAGTTTTCAGTCCAGCCTCTGACTAAAAAATACAGATGTGATAATATTCCCTAGAACGAAGGAAGGTTCTAGCTCTACATGCTCTTACGAAGGATGTATGACTTCCAGGGCAGTATTAATCATCTCATGGGCAGCAAGATGTACAAGTGCAGCCACGAAAAACCAACCCAGAACAACCCAGGACAACTGACTGGATAAGGTAAGACACATTCTGGCAGCGGAAAACTTGACGTACAAAAGAAATGACAGGCTGAGGGCTGGAAGAGAGCTGGGCTGCTTCATGAAGAATAACAGCAACAAGAAGAACCCGGACCCAAATATACAGCTAAATCATTTGCTTACATAAAACAATATTTTTAAACCAAAGGACCATTTCTGGAATTTTTAAGGCACTGGATTTCTACATTGCGAGAAGGGAACAAGTCATACATTGTGCTTTATTTTTCTAATTAAGCTGATATGCCTTACATGAAAGTATGAAATGTAATGTACATTATTAAACTCTACTGGAAATGCAATCAGTTAATTTAAGTGCTTCCATGATACTCTGAGAAGATGATATTTTCTACTTTAAAATTATTAAATCAGATAAAACCAATAAATAGAAAATCTGATTTTCTCAAACCTTGGTCTTCTTTCCAACAAACATACAGTTTGGCCTGTCAGTTCATAAAAGTGAAGTAATTTTACAGAGCTGCAAACTCATAAAATCCCAGACGTGACAGTGTGATTTGGGATCTACTTGGCCTCAATCAGTCGGAAGCAAATCTAGTGCCTCATGCAGAGGCTGTCAAAAAGGTAACTCAGAGCTAGGAAAGGAGAATTACACAGGGCTATTATGTCAAAGTGAGAAAATCTGGCTGCAGTGCTCTCAGAAGCAATGCCAATTTATTTGCAGAAGCCCAGCTCACCACTCTTCACCCTGTCTGTGCTATGCCTCAAAAGAGCTGGCTTTTCACACAGGGGTGAACTCGCTAATTTGCGAAAGACAGCTGCGCTCTTGTCAACATGTTTACTGATACAATGAGGCAAGCGGCATAAGAAATCGCCATTAAAGAGTATTAAATCATGCTTTTATGCAGAATGCGTTGAGCATGATAGCAGTACGATTGTTAAACATTGCTCTACTGAAGAAAAAAGACTGCGTTTGCAAGAATTCACATTAATTTTCCTTAAAGAGAGTTAGAAAGACCAGGAAACATCCATCCCATGTAGATTCTGGAGAGGAAGCAGCCTGAATGTCTGTGCATAGCATGAATCACCGGAGGCCTCATTCTGCCACCGATCCACACCGAGTGGATCCTCACACCGCAGAAAGGGATCATTCAAATAAATACACGTACAGACAAAGCAGAACCCAAAGGAAGAAAAGTTTCAGCATTGACCTCACTAGGGATACGTGAAATCCAAAAGGAAAGGGCATGTTTGTCCAAACAATTTAAAACAGCCCGTGCACGCAACCACGTTGACCATCAGTATTTTTCCATCTTTTTCAAACTGCTTTTGCATCTATACCCCAAGTCAGCTTAACATTTCTCATCTGGCACAAAGATGTTAACTTCTACATCTGATGAACCCAGCACAGCAATCCCCATCACCCAGTTCTTCGATTCTCAAATGAAGTCCTTTGAGCTTTCCCCTCCTTGGCCCTTGGCAGTTGTGAGCCGCTTCATTACCCTCCTAAAAGTCCACATAAGGTCAACAGAATTGCAGCAGAACTGCCAGTGTGCTAAGATTAACAGCTGATTGACTGACTTCTGTATTTTTTTTAATGTTTCCCCGTAGTCCTCTAACAGTCTGTGTGTTGTCTCTCATTTTGTATTGAAACAAATATTCTCTGAGCCACAGGACGTGCTTGTGGTCTGCACTTATACAGGGTTAGCAACCCAGCCTGGGATTTCCAGGGACGCACTGAATACACAGGCTCTTCACAGCATGGAGGGTAGGTGATGACTCCCCATGGCACTGGGGCTGTTCGTATATATATTGTGCTGCCCGAGCGTATCGGCAGCAAGTCCAACAGCTTTTGGAAGGTATCATCAGCCTTGTGTACGTGTTATACAGCTTAATGACGTCGACAGACACATGGACTTTTGCATGTTTGGAGCCCGCAACAGCAGCCTGGTGCCACTGGTAGGCTCTGTGAAGTGCATGGCCACCAAAATCCCTCACACAATCTTTACATCAGACAAGCACGAAAATTCATCCCGTCACTCAAAGCTAGGGACGATTTTTACCACGGTCATGGCAGGACTCACAGCTCAGCAATTTGTCTACATTATCTATAAAGCTCTTTGGAGCTGTCAAGATTCTTGCCTGTGGTGGGAGGGTGTACTAGTAAACAGCTAAACTGATTTCACCAAGAATCTTAACAGCTGCCAAGTTAAAATATAAGCTAGATAGGATGCTGAGAGAAATAAGGAATGAATTTCCCAAATTGTCATGGGAGGAGGGATAGGGTTGATCCAGTCTGGAGTCCAAGAACCTGCTGGCAGCTTTCTGAGACTTGCACTCGGTCCTGTTGCTCCTGCTGCTTTTGAGGGGACCAAGGCAGGCAAGCAGTTGTGGGGCAGCAACAGAGGCTGGCCAGGTCCCTTCTCCTCTGCTGCAGCTCTGCTGGGCATCAACTCAGTGGCTTGCATTACACATAAAATAATGAAACTATTACATTGCCAAATAAAAGGAATGGAGTGCAATAGTTGATTGTTAGTACTTTTCTGTTATGGAGCTATGGCTTCAGCTCCCCCAACAGACATTAATCAAACTACGTCTTTTCACAGAATTTATTGTGACAATCCATGGGCCCCGGGGATAATACCTAACTGTCTGCTGGCATCATCTCTAGCCAGTGATGAAAGGGAATGGAAAGGTAGAACAAAATGTCTTTAATGAAGAAAAGGAACAGTAAAATACTTCACTTACTGGAATAGAAGTCCTGCAGTGTTTTCTCACCCTGTTCTCCCACGGGAGTCAATGTGAACCTTGTCTGAATAAGGACTGCGGCAGATGCCTCCCTCTAAGCTATTTTCTTTGCCAAAACAGATCAAAGGCAAAATATACTGTATCATCAGGAAAAAAAAAATCTTGGGGGATGGGATTAATCTTACCAAACTTTTACTGCCTTAAAAGTGAGAGGTTGTCTAGCCGTGTTTGGCTCAGTCACTGCAGAAAGAGAGGTGATTCATCTCACCCTAAGACATGTATTTAAAAGACAGCAGATGACTCACTGTCTGGGAGAGCCTATTTCCCTCTACTGACTACTCAGTGACTATACAGGCATAGGTATGCGTCCTTATAGAAGCTGGCTTGGTCCAACCCATCCTATATTAGCTTTTTTGAAGCTGTAGGATAGATTCCCGTAACCTTGGCTATAGGGAGCCAAGAGGATGGAGTATGAAGTCTGTTAAAGTGTATCTGGCTCTCTGTTTTAAATCCTTCTTACACAGTTCTGCAAGTCATCAAGTAAGATTTCTCACACTGAGTGCTTTGTTCAGGGGTTTAATCGGAAGATATATAACCGTTCACAGACATTACCCTGTGTGCAGCTACTAACCACAGAGACAGAATTACATGACCTTTGAAAGCCACTTATGTTTTGCAAGTTACTTAATTCTGCTATATTCTCCATTTGAAAACACTAACTACTTACTTGAGAAGTACTCAAATACAAATTTATGATTGATCACTGTTCTAAGACACAAATCTGTCTCCACTTTTTCTAAAAGCGGGTGATTTGTAGAAGGGAAAAAATAAAAGGAAGGAGCCATTTAATTTTAAAGCTCTGCAGAGGAAACATTAATTGGACTCAATTTTTACAAACATGTTAACACCTCACATTCTGCACAGATGCTACAAATTTGCACACAGCATATTGTTACTAAGCAACCCAAAAAGCCAGAACAAAAAAACCCTAACCAAAACCAAAAAACCACAAGTCATTTAAAGACATATCTCACACTTTGACTGATATAGTCTGTTCCATTCAGCTGGAGAGCTGGCAGATGGCATGCTGAGATCATTATTTCTCTTCCCTTTCAGTAAATGCAGTGTAAAGTATTACAAATTTACAACACAAGATTGTAGGCCCACTCAATGGGTCTGATTCCGCTGCAGCTTAAAATAGGGCTTTGCCACTGATTTGAGCAAAACAAGAAACTGTACCATAACCATGCAACACAGATCCGTAAGAAAGCACTAATATTTTATATTGTCTGGCCTCTAAGTTCAGCCTTCGATAATCCCAGTTTTCCTTGGAAAAAACCCTCACCTTTACTGAGCTAGAAATTCATCTATCTATCTCACTC